CCCTTTGGTCAAAAAAAATTTTTTTATTTAAAATAGAACGTTGTTGCACAGCGGGGCCTAGCCCAGAAGCCAATCAGCCAAATTTTGAACGCCAGGCAGCTACCCCTGCCGGACGGACCGGGGAAGGGGGATGGCAGAGCTGCTACCTCGCCTGCTGGGGGAAGGGCTGTAGGGCCAACTGACCCTGGTAAGCGGAATAGCCGGATAGAGGAAACGAAAAAAGGAGCAGAGATAAAGGCAGTCCGGAGTCTGCCTATCAGTCAGGATAAGAAAAACGGCCTGTTCTGGGCCTCTCGCAATGGCGGCAGGCCATGCGGCCACACACAAAATGGCGGCGGCTCCTGGGCACACCCAAGATGGCGGACGCCACAGGGAGCCCGAAATGGAGGCCGCGGTAATAAAAACAGCCCCAGCGGCGGCAATCTCCCAACTGAGGCCACAAGAAGACCCCTGGGAGAGACAGGGAAGCATTCCCTGGACTAGAAGGCATTCGCGGGGGGGAAACGGCGAAAACAGTAAGGCAGGAAGGGAAGAAGCGACCTCGCGCGGGGCGAATAGGCGGCAAACGAAGGGGGGGGGCAGCGCTCGAAGCGCTGGGCTTTCCCCTGCAGGGACGGCGAATGCGATTCCCCTGAAAGAAGAAAGACTCCCTGGGGAGTTCAAACCTCAAGGTCCTGTGCTGGGTGATAGCAGGGTCCAAGTTGAAAGAAGAAAAACTCTGAGGTGCTGAAACGACCAGGAGCGAGGGAAAAAACAGCCTGGCTGCCACGAGGCTGAGCAAAAAACTGGGGAGCGCCCGGAGGACCACGTGATGGTGAGAGGCGTTCCTCAATCTCAAGCTCAGCCTGTGAGAGCCGAGACTGGAGCTCCTCCCAACCTGGACGCTCGAGACAACTCTATGGAAAATCTGCCGAAACGTTGCTACAACTTTAAAAGCACGACTACAATGACGTGGGAAAATACCCGAACAAAGCTGAATGCCATTCATACATACATATACACACATACACACACACACATAAAAGGATCCATTAATTGTTGCACCTTGGAACTATAAAATAATTCCTTATGTGGCATAAATTTGGTGTTGACTGCTAGCAACAACTTGAGTAGGTCATTCCAGGATGCTCTTACCTCAACCTGACCCTTTAGATTCCCTTTTCATGCATCCTTACCAATGGTCTTGAATTCATTGCATAGTTCCACTGGTTCTCTACAAATGACATTCAGGGCTTAAAAGCAATTTCTGGTGTATTTCCTGATAATGGTGGTAATATGCTGAAGATAACATTGTGAGTGCTGATATTGTTCTTCAGCTTTATCTTGACTTGAAACTTGCACATAAACATATGTTCCATAGTCATCCTATAGCCACCTCTTTTCTCTTGTAACTCACTCTTCCACCTCCATGTAAGAATAATATTGTCACTGTACTCCAGTCAACATTTTTTAAAAATTTCTTTATACAGTATGAGCAAAGGTCTCAAAAAACACTGCTGTTCGCGCTGAAAACCACTAGAGGACAGGACTGCCTTTTTTCTCTTTAAATGTAGTTACAGAACATAGGTAAATACTGGAACTCTATTTTATAAATTGTATGAAATACTACAAATTAGAGATCAGTTCAGTTAAGGGTTGCTAGGAATAGTGAACAAATTTGGGTAATTTAATCCCCATGATATCTACCCTACCACCTTTTTCTGCCTATTCCAGCGCTCACCAAATAATTAGAAGACCTTTGATGCGGAAGCAGTGGCAGAGTATTCACATTATTCTCAAAGAAGGAAACAGGAATCAGCTTTCCAGCATCTCTTTTGTGGCTTCTAGATCCCTTCCAAATTAAGTGGGATCAAAAAGTTTAACTCTTTCTTTTTGAAAATGGGCATTTGTTGGAAGAAAGCCGAAACATCATAATTTGGGAAAGCCCAAACACAATAATAAAGCCCAAATGCAATCATTAGATTTTCAATCCATAACAGTGACAATTATGCACTTGTGACACGAACTTTTTAAAGCCAAGGTGCTACATGCTTTGTTATATGCCACACAATGTTGCACTTAAAAGGACACTCTTACATTAGAAACTGCACAATCTAAGTTTCTGGGACGTTTACTTTGATATTCCCTGTCCATGATCTGTGTTGGGCTTCTAGGTGCCTCCCCATCTGCCTGAGGCACCCTTCACTTCGTACCACGCTGTATCTCTGCTCAGATTTTGGCTCCCTCTTGTCTCTGAAGGTTGGAGAAAGAATGCCTGAAAAAGGAGTTCAGCTTCCCTCTGTGCATGGAAGAGAACTCGGACAAGGTGTTCTGGGCAAAGAATAGACGCTAGGCCAGAGTGATTTCTAAGAGCTCTTTACTCAGTACTGCCTATGAGGCAACTGAACTCCCTGGCCGACACAGCTCCTTTTATAGGAAACTGATCAGCCAACAACCAATCAGGAGAGAGTATTTTCCCACTCTAACAAAGGACCAGAATGAGAACTTCACCTGACAACTATATACACCATATAAAATACATAACAAGGATCTGAGCCCTCTTTCCCGAAAGACAAGAGGGAATCCTCTTGGCAGGCAGATGCAGCTTGCAACCTTCCTGCGAGCTTCCCCACTGACTTTCTGGGGAAGTCGATAGAGAAAATTGCAAATAATGATTACAGGATCACAGGGGGGTTGGCAACTGGTCGTAAGCATGAACACTTTGTTAAGTACCCTTACTGTGATCATATCATCACAAAGTGGTGATACAATATTTTCCTATGGCTGAAAGTACTTTACAAGCCATAAAATATTGTTTCCTAGGCTGTGATTACTCTGGAATGTTGTTAAATGAACATAGGCCTGTTCAGATTGTTCTGATATGTAATTGTGCATTACCTATGGGTTGATCACATCAGAAAAGGAATGATAGCAAAATTTTGTACCATCACTGTAATCATTTTAGCTTATGTCTGTATATTTCAATAAACTTCAAACTGGGGGCAGAGGTGCTAAGGGACAAAATGGGTAAATTTTGCATCTAAAATCCAAATCTTGCCCAAGGGTATTATTCCAATCCTGTAGGACAGCTCTTTTCTGATAGAAGTTGTATGCCAAACTATGCTTTGCTAAACTATTCTCTAAGTAATAATTTGCTTAATTATAGTTTAAGTGAACTATAATGAACTAGGTTCATAAAGTATGCATGATCTGAACCATGATAAAAACAACAGTGGTTGAGCTCATATAACTCCCTTAAGCTCAAATCAAACACATTTTTAAACAATGTGCTTTAATTTTTTGTTAGCATGCTGAGATCTACCAATGGAATTCTCATGAAAAAGGCAGAATTCACACAAATTGCAGCCCTTTTTAGTTAACCAAAGTTTGCTGAATAAACCACAATGAAGTCGATTTACAAAAACAATAAACATAAACCACAGTAGCAACAATTTCATTACGTCTTAATCCTAAACCAAAAACAAGCAATCCTACTCTGAAAGCTTTGCTTGTGCAATCCATCCACAGTAAGAATTTGCTTGGTTACAGTAGCTAGCTAATCTTGATGTCTTAAGGTGGGCAGAATGTGATCCAGAAGTCCTTGGATAGATCACCAGGAAATCCCTGCTGTATAATAGCCTTGGAAATCAAAAAAAGATTGTATTTATTCATCCTGCCTTTATTATTTTTACAAATACCTCAAGAGAGCAAGCATATCCAACACATCTTCCTCCTCCTATTTTCCCCACAACAGAACACTCTGAGGGTTGGGCTGAGACAGAAGGAGTGACTGACTCAAAGTCATCCGGACGGCTTTCATGGCTAAGGCATGACTTGTATGCATACTACTTACATACTATTGTCAAGAAAAATGGCACCGAAAATCAAGTTTTGCTGGAGACTTGAGTCCATGCACACACATTTTGATGACTTCAAATGTTCTTAACTCCACCAATTGAATGTATTTACAATATATTAGTGTCTACAATAATGCATAGCTTATCATGTTGTTGCTGGCATCCTTAAACACAAGGGATCCAACCACTGCCATCTGCACCTCTATAACTGTCTTGTTTGGTTCTGCAACCCAACAAAACAGACACAGACTTCAGAGGATAATTAGGACTGCAGAAAAAACAATTACTACCAACCTGCTTTCCATTGAGGACCTGTATACTACACGAGTCAAAAAGAGGGCTGTGAAAATATTTACAGACCACTCACATCCTGGACATAAACTGTTTCAACTCCTATCCTCAAAACGACGCTATAGTGCACATCAGAACAACTAGATACAAGAACAGTTTTTTATCAAACACCATCATTCTGCTAAACAAGTAATTCCCACAACACTGTTGTGTAACAGTTTAGTAACTATTTACTAAATCTGCATTACTATCATTATTAATCTTCTCATCACTCCTATCACCCATTCCCTCCCACTTGTGACTGTATGACTGCAGTTTGTTGCTTGTATCCTTAATATTGACTGTTTCCTCGTATGATTTGATTGCCTATTTGTACCCTATGACTATATTAAGTGTTGTATCTTATCATTCTTGATGAATGTATCTTTTCTTTTTATGCACACTGAGAGCATATGCACCAAGACAAATTCCTTGTATGTCTAATCACACTTGGCTAATAAAGAATTCATTCATTTATTCATTCATTTACAATGAAGGCACCAAAAGTCAAGCTTCGCTGGAAACTTGAGTCCACGCACATACACACTTTGATTACGTTGTTGTTAGCATGCTTAAACCACAATGATGGCACCAAAAGTCAAGCTTCGTTGGAGACTTGAGTCCATGCACACGCACTTCGATTACTTCAAGTGTTCTTAATTTCAGCAACCCAATGTGGTGACAATGTATTAGTGTCTACTACAATAACGCACAGCTTATCATGTTGTTGTTGGCATGCTTAAACGCCAGGGTGCCAACCACAAAGTTTGCAAGCTACTGGCAAATCCCATGGACATAACCAGTCTCCCGTTTCCCACCCAAGTCAAAATGTACCGAACACTCCCTGCTGACAACAGATGCGTCAGGAAACAGAACATTCAGCATCATTACAGGAAGCGACTTCTTATTTGTGTTGCTTACCTCGCTCATTCCACCGGCTACTGCGAGGACGATCGTTTCCTTGGAGACATATACCGACCAGCAAAAAACATCTTCGCCACGCTTGGCAGGTAGGGAGAAAGTAACGGGGGAGGGGGGGGGAGTGCAGAAAACAAAAACGTCCACGGGCTCCTTACAAGCGATCACCGCTCCGTAAAAAACCACGCTTTGTTTTCAGCAGCGTCACAGATCCCAGGTCGCGAAAGCAGCCAAAGAGTATCGCGGGATCTCTAGGAGTCACGATGAACTCGGGAGATTTCGTGCTGGACTGCTTTCTCATTTCACCGCTCTTCTCCCAAGGCTGAGGGGAGATCTTGAACTACGATTTCCAAAATACTCTGCCAGCATCGGATCGGAATTCTTGAGAGTTGATAATCGATCTAGACTAGAGCAACGTTTCTCAGTGTTGGCAATGTTAAGCTGCATGGATTTCAACTCCCGGAATTCAACTAGCTGGGAGTTGAAATCCACGCATCTGGAAGTTTAAAATAAGTATGCTTTAAAGACAGGAAATCTTAGAATATGTTTGGATCACAATTACATGAGTCCCGGTAAAAATGTTTAATAGCACACGTTTCTCATCCCGAAATCTGTAAGGGCAGTGTCCTTTTATGGGATTTAATTTGCCTGTTACACAATAAAGAATTACAGAATATAGACTTGCATTCGGGACAGTTTGAAATGGTGAAGGAGGAAATTACAAGGGGCAAAGAGGATGTAACTTAACTATAATCACCCTTTGGCTTCTCAAAAAGTATAGAAATTTTATGACATGAGAACAGAACACTTGTTTTTACTGTAATACGCTCAACTATATATTCTTTTAAGTACTGGAGCTGCTTAATTTCTTATGGTTCTGATGTTTGCATCTCTAGAGCCAAATCCAGAACCTTCAGTGTTGTTTTTTTCTTCCATTCTAGTGACTGAGCCAGGTCATCTACATGCCCAAAGTGGGACTAGAATTCAATCTCCCAATTTCTAGCCCGATGCTACCAAACTGGCCCTCAGAACTTCCATAAACCTTTTCTGTTTCATCCCATAGGTCCATAGCCTTTGATCCTGAATGCAGGTAAATAATTGTTAAAGAGAATGTTAGAGTATATTGTGTGAGTTACAGTCTCAACCCATGGTAAAAAAAATAAGGCTATTATTTCTTCAGGACGATTGAAACTTTTTTTAACAAAAGGAAAACATTGATTATGTGCCATCAAGTTTTCCATTCCTAGCTACCTTAGAGAGTGTCATAGAAAAAAATCTATCCCTAACTTAATCTTTCAGGTCTCAAAGGGAAATAAGCTACTGACCTATAAAGAATAGGAATTTCTGCAATATTTTCATCTTCCTTCATTAGTGTTGGGAGATTACACTATTTCCGAATCTGCTGCCATAACAAATTTATGAAGTTTTCTATAATTGCTTAGCAGCAGTTGTCCATTTGGCAGCACAAACCCTTGGGGAGGTGGGAATGGCATTGAAATAACAGAGGGAGCCTCCTCTTCCAACAATAGTATAGCAGAGTTGGAAGGGACCTTGGAGGTTGTCTAGTCCAACCCCCTGCTCAAGCAGGAGACTTTATAGCATTTTCAACAAATGGTTGTCCAGTCCCTTCTTAAAAGCCTCCAGGGTTGACGCAACCACAACTTCTGAAGACAAGTTGTTCCACCAGTTGATTGTTTTCACCGTCAGGAAATTTCTCCTTAGTTCTAGGTTAAATTTGGCAGCCCCTCAAATATTGGAACACTATCATATCACCCCTAATTATTTTTTACTAGACTAAACATACCCAATTCCTGCAAACATTCATCTTTTAGCCTTCAGTCCCTTCCCTTCAATAAACTTTTCTGCACTATTTCCAGAGTCTCAAGATCTTTTTTCTTAATATTGTAGCGAACAAAATTGGATGCAGTATTCCAAGTGTGATTTTACCAAGGCATTTTAAAGCGGTAGCATAATTTCCCATAATCTTGATTCCTCTGTTCATACAGCCTAGAATTGTTGCTTTTTTTTTTGACAGCTGCAGCACATTGCTGCCTCATACAGATAGCCCTGTATAGCTTACAACAGTTCATTTAGTGACCGTTCAAAGTTACATCTTCAATGAAAAAAGTGACTTATGACCATTTTTCACACTTAGGACTGTCTCAGCATCCTCTTGATCTCGGGATAAAAATTCAGATGCTTGGCAACTGACTCATAATTTGCCCTGTCCTGAGGTCGTGTGCTCCCCTTCGGCGACCTTCTGACAAGCAAAGTCAATGGGGGGAAAAAACCTGTTTCAGTTAACGACCTTTACCAACGGCAGTGATTTGCTTAACTGTGGCAAGCAAGGTCGTAAAATGGGGCAAAACTCACTTAGCCACAGAAAAGTTGGGCTCCATTGTGGTCGTAAGTTGAGGACGACCTGTAGTTAACGAACGCCCTCCCCCCCCCCATTCCCCCCTAAAACGATGGGGAATCTAACTCCCACAAGCCTGCCGGTACCTCCAGGAACCGGAAATAAAGCGCGGAGGATCTCGCGAGAGTTCCTATGCGGAAACCGAGCTCGGAAAGACAGGAGGCACCCGGGCGCGCGCGCTCGCGAGAGAGAGCGAGAGAGGGATTGGTGGGTTGTCGCCGGCTGCTGTGGTAACAGGGTTCGGCTGGGGCGCAGCTCGGAACAGCGCGCGGCTCTGGGGGAAATTCCTCTTCTCCCAAGATGGCGGTGGTGGGGGGCGGGGGAGTGAACCCCTTCCTCAGTGACTCCGAAGAGTCCGAGCCAGAGGAGACCAGGCCGGGGGGCAGCAGCAGCAGCGACCCCGGCGTCTCGGGCGCTCCACTCCCCGTCTCTTCTTCCACCTCCTCTTCGCTACCCCTTCAGCAACTGTTGCCGCCGCCGCCTGCACAGGCCGAGGAACCGCCCCGGGTGCCCGTGGATGCTTTAGCGGCTCAGCTGCTGCGCGACCAGTTCGTCTTGACAGCTCTGGAATTGCACACGGAGCTTCTGGAGAGCGGCCGGGAGCTGCCTCGCCTGCGCGACTATTTTTCCAACCCTGGCAACTTCGAGCGGCAAAGTGCGGGCGGCGCCGGAGCCCTGGCACCGACTCCTTCCGCCTCAGGAGCTCCCGGGATCATAGCGATGGTCGGAGGCGGTAAGGAGCCCGGCGCCGGACAGCTCCGTAAGTGGATAATCGTGCTTAACAAAGAGAAGCTTAGAAGGAGACCCTCTTCTTTTTTTCCCCCCTCCCCTTGCCAGGTTTCAGCCCTCGGTTGACCTTGGCTTGGGTGTGTGTGTGTTATTTTCAATTCCCCTCAATTGGCGTCGGGGCGTTTGTCAAATCTTCGTAGGAAAGAGGCAGGGATCGTCCCATGGCATGCGTGAAGAAACGCCCCGTGAAGAAATGCTCGATTGCATTACTAGCACCAATACCCGTTTTTGCAAAAGGCGGTGTGACCTGCATTACACCACATTAAATACCTATGCGCAGGGATCTTCAAACTGGCCACTTTGAGACATGTGGACTTCAACAGTTAAAGTCCACAAGTGTTAAAGTGGCTAAGTTTGGAGACCCTTGATCTGTGGAGATTCTCGGTCATCCAGGTCATGCTTGTCCCTCTTAAAAAAGCACCTTTGGGTCCTCACATTAAGTATCATGTCTGAACTGAGGGGTTCTTGGTACTCTCTAAGTTTGTTTTCTTGCAGACATTTCATTACCCTAACTAGGTATCATCATCAGTGCTACGAAGGAGTGCTGTCTGCTGTCAGTTTATATTCTGGTGTTTTGCCTGTCTATGTGGGTGGGGGTGGACACAGACAGACAATTCACCAGAATATAAACTGACAGCAAACAGCACTCCTTACTGGCACTGATGACGTTCCCTAGTTAGGGTAATGAAACGTCTGCAAGAAAACAAGCTCAGAGACCACCAAAGACCCCCTCATTTCAACCCTGAGCTACAAATAGTCTCCTTCATTGGTACCATGTTGATCATTTAGATGACATAGATTGCAACTGCTACCTATTATGAGGCTTTTTCTATTTTTATGGCAAGGTTTTTAAAGGCTATGATGGGTTGAATTATACAGCGTAAGTTAAAAGTAGTTCATGAATCACCGTAGCAAAGAATAGCAGTCCTGTGAGTTCAGCTGCTTTGATAATCTGAATTTTATTTACATACACAAATACAATACTTTCACCTTTCTCACAAATATTTTAGTTCAGAGATAAATTTGAGAGAGACTCTGATAACTAATTTTAGGAGGTCATCATATGAACTTGCTATGGTATTCAATCTTATTCTGTCATTATGTGTTTGGTTTTATTTTACCCTACTTCATGACTCCACTAAAGCCAGTTGTGATTTAGTGAACAAACTAGCAGTAAACATAGTGTGATTTATAATGATAATCAAGTTGGCGTTGACTCTTAGTGAGTCAACCTCTTAATGAGTCAACCTCAACTTGATTACCAGCATCAAGTTGGTAGATTTTTTTTCATGATGATTTGCCCTTTATCTGGTTTTTCAGGTTTTATAATGGTGTACACATTACCACTGTAATCATGTCCACATACTATGCTTCTGGTTGGTCCCTTTTTCTTTCCATTCTCAGCATTATAGATTACTCAAAGAGAGCTTGGTTATACGTAATACGTCCAAAATGTGATAATTTGAGCCTGGTTATTTATGCCACAAATAAGAACTCTGAATCAATTTGATCATTTATTTTCTTGAATATCCCTGATATTTTGAGGAGTCTTTGGTAACACCAAAGTTCAAAAGCCTCAATATTGTAATACAGTATGTAAAACCAGCCCTGAATTCTGAATCAGCTGGTGTTTTTCTGGTTCCTCTTGCCGTTTGCAATTCGATAGAAACTAAAAAGTCATAGCTAAAGAAGCAGCAGTTTTTAATCTGTACTAAACTATTGGCAAAACAAAGATATTAAGTTAATACACTTTATTGATTTTAGCTCTTGCTCTTTCAGAGACAACATCCTGAAATATCAATGCAGGTACATGTTTCATTTTAGAATACTGTGGCACTATAATTAATGTTGAGATATTGGGTTAGATAATATAAGTTTCATTGAAAATGTATGTGTTGTGTATAATTGCTTATGGCTTCAGATTGTGGGAGGATGTTTGGACAATATTCAGTAAATCCTGTTTGATTCAATGTAAGAATAATAAGAAATG